TAAATCTTGATTTTTCTAGAAACATTAATTTCTCACAATTTCTCAAGTTTTTAAATGAAAATTTTCAAAGTATTTGAGCTTTAATGTAATGGGGAAATTAATACAAAAAATGTGTCAAATAAAAATCGAGATAAATTTTCACTTAATGTTATTTTGTACTCAATTGAGAATATTTAAAATTGAGGTTTCATCTTGGAGGGACCCAATTGCAATCAGGAAGTAAATGTGGGACTAAAATATAAATGGAGGAACCCTATGAATTGAGGCGCCAATTTTACCCCTTACAATTAGATCTTCATCAATCGCACCTTCGCCACGCATAAGCTCAAGCTTTCTGCCTTCTCAGATCTCGAATTACCTAGCTCTATTGAGGAAGTTTCGCCGAAAAAGGGCAAGGGAACATATGGATTGAAGGGCGAGTCTTACCCCTTCAATCGCACCTTCGCGGCAAATGAGCTCAAGCTTTCTGCCTTCTCTAATCTCGGATTACCCATCGCTATTGAGGAAGCTTCGTGGAAAAACGGCAAGGCTCGGTATAGAAAAGAGGCAAAAGCTTAGACTAGGGGGAACAGGTTTCTCTTGTTCGGAGGAGGCTGGGGATTTCGAGTGATTCTGGCTTTTGTAAGTAACTTTCAATTTCAATAAAAATCTCGAATTTTCAGTCCATTCTTACTTAGATTTTCAATTTTTTTTTAGTCTGAAGACATGACTAGGACAGCGAACCCAATATTTTTTTTGACTTAAGAGTCCATGGCGTGGGTTTTTTTCGTTTTGAGTACTTGGGAAATTTTTAAGATGGACTTAGTAGTACCTCAGAATAGAATATAAGATTACCAACGAGGGGTTGGATCAAGTGGTAAGCAGCTTGTTTTAGCTTAAATAAAGTCTTGAATTCGAGTTCTTGTGTATGCAGCAGCCCCTCATTTACCCACCATTTTCAGGTGCGTAATACAGGTCAGTTCCGGATTAGTCGGGGTGAAACCCCGGATACCGGACAAGAAACCAAAAAAAAAAAATAGAATATAAGATTTCATGTCAAAGCACCTTCCTTTAAAGGGTGGTTATTATCCCACTTTTCGCTGCACCATAGCGTAGTTTGATTGCAGAGCCCATGTTTAGGTGATTCGTCTTACATAATTTGTTTTATATAATTTGTCTGTCTTTATAATTTAATTTGTACAGGTGGTGACTCCAAACTTTTTAATCTTTGCACTTAATTTTCAATTTTTTTTATCCTTTTAAGTGGATTCGTCATTACATACAACATGGGAGAACTAGTTAAATGGCTGCCCGTCAACGTGTGTTGAATAAGTAGGTATCTGAATCATTTTCTTATATCGTAACATTTTTTAATTAAAAAAAATTAGATTTGTTTGAATCTGAAAGCTTACCTTAACTTTTTATCCTTTGCAATTTATAATACATCTCATTGTCAACAAATTAAATTTCTATATACTGTATCAGGGGATGGCGCAAATGAATAACACTATCCAGGTTCGTATAGATGGCTGGATGGCTGGATACAGGGCCTTCCTGCCGAATCTTCATAGCATAAAATTTTTCAAGTGCCTCATTATTTACGAGAGCTAAATGAAGAAGCCTATGAACCTACAATCGTATCTATTGGCCCTTATCATCGTCAGAAAGATCATTTAAAAGCAATGGAAACACACAAGGTGCGTTTTCTAAAAGACCTTCTTCAACGAAGAAATGAGAATAGTACTCAAAGATATGTGGAGGCCATGACAGGCATGATGGAAAGTGCTCTTAACTGTTATTCAGAATCTTTGGGCATTTCTCATGAAGAATTTATAGAAATGATGGTTATTGATGGATGTTTTATTGTTGAGCTAATTCACAAAATAAGAGAGGGAAGTTGGCAGCAGGATTCTATCTTAAATGTGAGTCAGATTTTCACAAACATTGTGAAAGATTTGATACTAGTTGAGAATCAACTTCCCTTTTTTGTACTATGAGAGTTTCTAGGCAACGCCTTTGAAGATCGATTCCGTTGCATTGATGTCATTATTGGGTTTTTTGAAGTAATGATGCCAGGGCTCACGGTTCATCTAACCTATGATGAAAATTCAATAAAAAAGGTCAAGCATCTATTAGACTTATTACGCACCAATTGGATTCCTTCAGATGATGCTATGCATGAATACAAGAATGTGCAAGAAATGAAATTCATACGTTCTGCTACAGAACTAAGGGAGGCAGGAATCAAGTACAGAAGGGGTAAGGGATGCAACTTGTTTGATATAAAGTATGAAAATGGGACACTTTACATTCCAGCTTTGAGTCTTGAAGATCATACTGAGAGATTGTATTCAATATCATTGCCTGTGAAAGGTTCACTGATGATGGATCTCCAAAATACTTGACCGAATGCATGTCAGTCATGGATTGTCTCATTGATACAGGAAAGGATGTGGAGTTACTTTTTCACAAAGGGATAATGCATCACTGGTTAGGCAATGACGAAGCAGCTGCTAAGATATTTAATAGGCTTTGAACTGAAGTCATCATTGACAAAAATAACTTCTTTTATGCCAAGTTATTTAATGATGTCAACAGACATTACTACCAACCTTGGAACAAAAGGATGGCAGGCTTGAGGCACAATTATTTCAACACTCCATGGGCTTTGATCTCCTTTCTTGCAGCATCTTTCTTCCTTCTTTTTACCCTACTTAAAACAACATTCACAATTTTCCCTTGGTCTTGAAAGTGCCTCAAACCTTTAGTATGGAGGGAACAACGTCAATTAGCAGATAGCATCGAGGTGTGTGAGAAGTGCAGGGGGTTAGGATGCATGCATAGACTAGTTTGAAATGTTTTCATACATATCCTTTTGCGTCTTGCTTTAGTTAATAAGTGCGTATCTATTTTAGTGCCATGTTTTTCTTTCTCTGTTTGGTTGGGTTTCTTTAGACTTCTAAACTATAATGTATTTTTTCGGTATAAAATCTACTTAATGAACGCTGTTTAATATTTTCAAAGAATCTGTGAACTCTACATGATTTATATTAAATTGGACTGGTCAAAACTATATGAAAAAATACTTCCATACAAAGAGACTCCAAACTCATCCTTAAAATATAATGAAAACTATTCTCCATAATGGCTATTACTACAACTTTACAAGTACCTCAAAGCATACTAACCAAATCACCGCGCTCCTTCAACACTTCCCTCACATCTGTAATACCCCTCTACTTTCTGAGGGCATAAGCCCTAGTTTCACTTCCATAAAAAATATCGAGTTCAATGTATATACCATAGAATGGTTGGGTTGTGGAACAAAAACAAGTATGCATTAATCACCTCTAGGATAATTTGCTAGTAAGGCCAAGTTGAAACTATCAAAATTTCGAAATAATCGATCTTTCAACTATATCCACATTAATCGCCTCTAGAATTATTCCAACCCTAGGGCTTTCTGCTCTCCCATGAGATTAATTTCCTTCGCAGCCTAATGGAAGCCGTTGTTAGGCACTCCAAAATGCTGTTCCTGTCTTCTTCCTGCTGCTTCACATCCCCCTGTAAATTCCAGCCTCCAACTTTCCTTCTGCTTTTCGTTAGATTCTGTTTAAAGTTTTCCATTTCAATCTTAGTAAAACCCAAAAACATTTCTTGCATGTTTCCTTCCCCAGTCATCAGCCTAAAACTATCAAACCAATTTTCCAGCTCTAGATCTTATTTCATGACAATGCCAAGCTATTCCCCTGAATTTAACATCTCAAAACACCAATTTATGGGTCAGATCATTCTTTTCTTTGCAATTGATTCAAGGGTACTTGGAAAAAAGGATCATATTTCCCTAAAGCTTGTTGCATTTTGGAAAGAGCTTTTGAAATTCATTATAGCTTGGGTGGATAGCAGTGTTTTTCAAGTGAAATCTCCTCTTGAAACCCTCCTTGGATTGCTTGGTTGTTGGGTATTAGCATTTAGAATTAATTTCAGATCTTATCGAAGCAATTGCAAGTAGTGTTCAAACCGTTACCAATTTTGCAACAAGTGCAAATGTTTCATGATAGTCAAGTCCCTCTACTTAGGTGAAACCTTGTGCCACCAATCTAGCTTTGTAATGTTGCACTGTTCCATCTGGTCTATACTTGATTTTGTATACCCATTTTGAGCCTATGGCCTGTTTACCAGGAAGCAAAGATTCTAGTGTCCAAGTGCCATTTCATTTAAGGGCCTGTATCTTAGTCCTCATCACTTCTCTCCATTTCTCATTTTTAATGGCATGGGAAGAAGTCTTTGGCTCATCCATGGATGTGATGGCTGTAAGATAAGCTTGATGGTTAGGGGAAAAAGATGCATAGGACACATGATTGGACAATGGATAAAGAGTACCTGAGTTTACTGAGTAGAAGGGCACGTACTTGGGATCAACTAATGGCGGAACATTGCAAACATTATCATCAAAGCATTTGCATGCATGTTGCTCGTGATGGGGCAGTGATGGTGGAAGCACTTAGGGTATAGACTCTGGGTTGGATTTTGAATGATTTGTAGAAGGTGTGGGCTGGATGTCAGTTTCATGAGGAATGACGACATTCTCTACCTCATCGACAGGAATTGTTTAGTCTTCTTGTAGGTTGTTGGTGCAATCAGTGGATAAGCATGGGTCTTCAAAAGCATGTTTTGTGACATTAGAGTCAATAAATGCTAATTTTTCTTCTGTACCCTTGGATAAGGAAATGTTTCTTCATAGAATACAACATCTTGTGATAAAAAAATTTGCTTATGTTCTAAATCATAAAGTTTATATCCATGTTTAGCAAAAAGATAGCCTATAAAAATACATTTTGAGGATCTTGGATCAAACTTTTGTTTTGATTTTTTGAATTATTATGGGCATAGCAAAGACACCCAAAAACTTTCAAGTGATCATAGCAAGGGGCGTTACCATAAAGCTTTTCAAAAGGAGTAAGACCGTAAAGAACAGGGGTTGGAATTAAATTATTCAAATATGTGCTATTAGAACACACTCACCCTAGAAATTCAAAGGCAAATTAGCTTGAAAACGTGTAAGGCTTGAGCTACCTAAAGTAAATGGCAGTGTTTATGTTCCACAATACCATTTTGTTGAGGCATATTAACACAAGAGGTTTGTTGCAAAATCCCTTACTGAAGTCAAAAGTTTTACACAAGTCCATTAGTAAATTCCTTCCTATTGTCATTGCAAATCTATTAAACATGAGTTTGAAATTGAGTTTCAACCATACGACAAAAATTTATTAAATATGAGGCAGCTTTAGACTTATGTTTTAGGAGATAAACCCAAGTGCAACGACTAAAATTGTTTACAATAATTAAAAAATAATGAGCACTAGTGTTAGAAGGTGTGGCACACCTACCCCAAATGTCACAATGAATCAAAGCAAAGTAATGAGAATTAATGTTATTGCCAATAGGAAAAGGTAACCTTGTTTATTTTGCTCTATGGCAAACATCACAAACATGTGCCACAACTTGAATGACCACCCTTTAGACTACTTCACCTCATTAGCCATTGCAACATGTCCAAAATTACAGTGATATATCCCTTTGCAAAGCTTACCCACTCCAACCAACTTCCTCAAGGCAAGATCTTGGAAAATGCAAAAGTTAGGAAAGAATATGATTGCACAATTAAGTTGCTTTGTTCTTTTGTTGACAAAGGAGGTTACACTTAAAACTTGGAATACAGAGAACATTGTTAAGGGTCAATTCATCATTCAAGATAGCTTTACCCAAATGAGATATTTTAATAAAAGATCCATTTGGTATGCAAACAGATGAAATATAAGGTTTGGTCCCACTAAGCTTAAACAAATGAGGATTCATGTGATCAGAGGCTTCATTATCAATAATCCAAGAATAAGATAAATTTTGGCAGTGTTTTTAAAATTAGACTGGATCGGTCGATCTGACCGATTTGACCGTCACTCGGTTAGCCAAGATGATGTGAACCCCAAAGAGAACAATGAGACCCACAACACGACAAGGGATTTATAAACTCCAAAAAGCCAAAATTAGATTATAATAGGACCTTGACCTGTTGTTTATGTCATAACAAGAACCAAAGGTAAAAACCTTGACTCGTAGTCTATGACGCAACAAGAACTAGAGGTATAAAGTTGGTTGATGCCACACCCTCGAACGATTAAGAACAAGAATGATAAGTCAGGTTAGAACACCACAAGAATAATTTTGATAAGTTCTATAAAGTTCTAAAATAAACCAAAGAGAAAAGTCTCTCAAAAACTTAGATCCAATCGTTGCCCAAACTATTGTCCTCTCAATTCCTAACTTCTCTATTCCTATTCCCATGCCTGAACCTACCCCGGTTCAATGGTGGCTCATTCAATTCTTCCAACTCCTCTTCTTCTTCTATGTCACCCCAATGTTCTCTTTGCTGCATCTGCCTAGGTGGTGGTCGAGCGAGAGAATTTCGTTGCTGCCTCATATTCTCCAATTGCAATGTTTCTAATTGCTCTTGCATGGATTCAATTAACATATTCACCATCCATCGCACCTCTCCCAATATTGCCTACACCTGTAGGTTTGGAAAGGTTTGTTGTGGAAGTTTTTCACTCGAGTTTTCTTCTTGGTTGCGTGACATGATAGTAATCTACAAAATGGGGTTAGAAATAATATGGAAAGGACATCACCACACTCCCTCATGTGTTTCACACAAAAAAATATGTATCACTCAATTTCACTTATGTCTCACTGAATTGACTTTTACCCTCTAATATGCTCACCAGTACTCTTGCCTTTTTTTTCACTCGTGAATTCTCTTTCAATTCTTTTCAAACTAATCAAACAATATTCAAAACTCCCAGTAGCAATTCATCAGAAACTTACCAACCAAAATTGGAGTTTTAAAAAGAAGACAGCTATGAACACGTATCAACTAGATTTTGGGATTCACAGAAAACACGAAAATTTGGGACAAAATTTTGCACTTTGGAGTAAAGTCAGATTAGGACTCTTGGATATTAGAACAATGGAATGAAACAATAAAATAAAATAAAATAAAATAGCAAGAAAGACAAATCAGTTTGACTATTCCTAGTAGGAATTGGATTGACAAATATTTATAGTAGGATTCCTAACTTAGGAAGAAGAACAAACAAAACTGCTATCTCCTAATTTGAATAGAACTTAAGGAGAATTTCCAACTCCTTATTGTAGTAGGATTCCTTCTTCCAACTCCTTATTAGAGTAAGATTCCTTCTTCTTTAAGGATTTGGCCACATATTTCTTCTCTATATATGGAATTTCAACCACAGAATTGTGTTGTTTTTCTAAATTTGTATTGCTGGTTTACAAAAGAAACAGAGAGGAAAGTACGAAAATAAGAAGAAAAAAAAAAAAAAGAGGAAGAAGTCATACAAAAAAAAGGAAAAAAAAAAAGAAAAATAAATAAAGGAAAGAGAGGAAGTCTGACAGTCCAACCGTCCAAACCCAAAAAACCCGCTTGACCCGTCTAGCCCGATAGACCAGACAAACCCGCTAGGTGAATTCTCCACGCTAGACTGGAGGCTTTTACTTTAAAATTTTATTTAAGGAAAATATCATTTAAGGAATCAAACTTTCTCTTGTAAAATATCAAGTTTTTAAGAGAAATATGGTTGATTTTTATATTAAAATTAATATAAATGTTGTTTAATTTATATTTAAAGTATAATAAATGTAATTTTTTTTATAATAAATTATAAAAGAATTATAAAAATTAATATTTATTTTAACATTATTAATATTAACATATAAATAATTTTAATTGGTTAATTAATTAATTTAAAATCAATTTTTATAATTTTTTATATAGAT